CTGCAGCGAGGACAGAGCAGGTTTCTTGCTCTCCTCTGCACTTACACTCCTGCCCTCCACCCCAGCTTGGCTAAGGCAGTGCCTGAACCCTCCAGGGTTAACATGGGAAAAGGGAATGGAGATTAAGGATAGGAAAGATATTACTTGGCTGGTCTTATTGTGAGCGGGCTCCAGGCCTTGGCAAGGATTTAAGGCTGACTTTGATTTTGTTGAATGCCGTGCTTTATGGGACCTTCAGAGAAACCCACCCCCATCCCCCTCTCCAGTGTATACACATACACACACACACAGGTTCACACCATTGCTGAGGCTCTCTCAACTGCAGGTCCCTTTATGAGGTCAAATGCACCTCTCCTGGCTGGCTACTTAAAGTCCCTCTCTCGATCCTTGGGCAGCTGGAAGTATATCTTGCTCAGCCCTAGGCAGCATTTCCAGGCAGGGTCTGTGACACCCCACGCCAGCTCTCCCTGTCCTGACTACATCCAGTTAAGGTGAAATATGTGCCTTTGACCCACTAGTGGTGGGAAGATGGTTTTTCCCTTCCATGACCCCCTGCTCTGATGCCACCAAACAGTTCAGCAAGATTCTCACTCTCCAGGTCTCTCTGGTGAGAGTCATGCACCAGTCCACTGTGCCCCCAGACTGCAACACATTGAGCTCCCCCAGCAGCATCCCTAAAGCCCCTTTCTAGCCCCAGGTGTATGTGGTGGTGGTGGGGGGCGGGTAACCTCATCCCTCTCAATGGAGTAGGTAGAATTCAGAACCACCAAAAACTGATTTCCAAAGTAATTCTATTTCTCATCTAATACCATTCCTAACCTCTCTTATAGGCTAGAAATGGGTGACCAGCTAAGGGGTCATGAAGCAGATCTTGCCCTCCTCCTTGGCAGCCCTACTTCCCCATTCCAGGCAGCTTGTTTTGAAGCACAGAAATACAGCCCCAAAGAAAACAGTTGTACCTAAATAGAATCTAAACAGGGCTGAAAGAAAATAAGGCTTCCATCTCCAAATTCTCCCTCCCCAACAGTTGTGAATACAGCCAGTGATCTGCATCTCAACTCGTGGGCTCGCTGTTTTGCTTTACTTAGTTGTTCCTGAAACAATCCTCAGAGCATTCCCACGTGGAAAAGAAACCAGCCAGTGCCGTGGTATCCAAGGCAGGCATCCTGAGCATGTGATCCCTTTCTACGGAGACTGTTGAGTCTGTCTACCTATCATAAGGCATCTAGCTCTGAATCAGAGCTACTTCTCAGCAGCTGGCCTGCATCTTTCAGTGTCTGTGTGAGCCTCAGCGTCTTCAGAAAGCCCTCCTATCACTTTTCTCATCTCCTCCATTTGGCGATCCTCAGTATTCTCATTTTTACATTATTTTTTAAAAAATACATCTGGGACTAGAATGAGGAAGAAATTCTAGCTTAAGGAATGGATCCAGAGCTTCTCCAGAGAGCTCTGTGAATGGCTCTTCAAAGTGGTGCATCTGACATGTCTTCTCACTAGACACACACAGAAGAGGGAGAAAGTTGAGAGGCAGTTGGGAAGAGAGGAAGAGGGAAAAGGGGAGGGAAATAGCAAAAAAACAGCAGGGGAGAGATGATAGGGAAGGAGGGAGGGGAGAAAAGAGGGAGTTGAGGGGAGAGAGAGAAGAGTGTGGGGAGAGCAGAGAAAGAGGATGAGGGGGAATTAGGGAATGAGGTTGATAGGGCTGAGAAAACATGTTGAATTAAGTCACCCAGAGTTTGCTGGAGGCTCCTAGTCCTCTGAATGTCCCTGGAATAGTTTGCAGTGAGCTGTTGAGGTTGATCTGGTTTCCTGTCATTTATTACTCGACACCAAGAGTCTTCTAGGAGTTTGTCACAGTCCTTCCACTCTGGGCGCAGTCACGTGTGGAACTGAGGACAACAGATTATGCATCTGAGCATGGAGGCAGGGGGCAGGTTAGCACCGGGAACTGATCGCTACTAGTCCTAAGCACAGGAAAGATGCTGGTGCTGTCTGGATGCGTGGGAGCAAGGGGTCAGCCGGCCTGGTATCTTGGGGCTTGGGAGAGTTTAGATATTAATGACTGTCTCATGAGTAGATGAGGGCCTGTGTGAATGGATGAATGATCACACAAATAGAGTATTCTAGACCAGTAGCTCCCAATATAAAGGCTGTGGGCTTCTAGCATCAGAATCACCTGGGGAAAATTTGTAAACTATAGATTGTTAGACCATTCTTTTGGAAATTTCTTATTAAGTAGTCCTAGGGTATTTTGAATAAATTGCTGTCAAGCCACTCTCTACAAAGCTGAGTTTGAATCACAGGTCAGGACAGCATGTAAGGTACCCAGATGAAAGTGTGGGTCTGGGCATCATATGTGTGCCCAGTAAACTAAACCCTCCACCCTTTTTTTTTCTTTTTCATTTGACAGCAAACTTGAAGAATTGGTTCATTTCTTACAAGTCATGTATCCCAAACTGTGTCAGCACTGGCAAGTCATCTGGATGATGGCCGCCGCCATGCTGGTCTTGACTGTCGTGCTGGGGCTCTACAGTTCCTATAACTCTTGTGTGGAGCAGGCTGACGGGCCCCTGGGGAAATCCTCTTGCTCAGCCGCCCAAAGGGACTCCTGGTGGAGCTCGGGACTCCAGCATGAGCAGCCTACAGAGCAGTAGGAAACCCGACACCCGGCTGGTGCCCTGCTCCACACAGCCTACCGCCCTTTCCCCAAGCATGATGTGTCAGGCCCACCGCTGCTGTCAGGGAAGAGCGGGGGCTCTTTCATACTCGGCACCCCTGTGGGCGCTATTCATACACAGTAAGCAGTGTTCTTAGAGGATCAACAGAACTGCTCTGGGAAAGCATCCGTGGGCGAAGAAGTGGCCTTCACCGGGGAACTCCAATGGAAGGGAAGGTTGCTCAGATGGCTGGGGAGAAACAAAACACCTTCCCTACAGGGGACAGTGCGAAGCTCACTCTCCCCCTTTTTCTTCTCTGCGGTCAGAAATCAGGAAGAATTGTGCCTAAAGGCTCACTCTGACCCCGAGGATCAGACCTGGAATTTGGAGTCACAACATGAATATCTTCCCATTTCCCATCTCATTCTTACTGACTCTCCTTCAGCCTCCCTTCCTCCCCTTTGGAATCGGAGTTTCTCTTTACAGAAGTCGGAAAAGTTTCTCAAAAAAATCATTAGGTTGACTTTAGCTCAGTGCTCGAAATGAAATGGGAAGATATAAATTAACATATGCCTCTGTACACACACACACACAGCATGCACGTGCATGAAGCCAACTACCCTCCAAACGTGTGCTCTGGGTGTGCGTTAGGGATAAAGCCAACCCCCAGATTTTCACTAGGTGTGGGGCAAACACCAGGCACCTGTTCACGAGTTCTCCACGTGGACTTAAGATGTTTGAAAAACACTGAATACTCATGGCTTCCATGGCAAACTTGCTGATCTCCATTTCAAGTGCTAATTCTAAGCTGCTGTACAGCATGGTCTGTCCCCTGTTTGCTCTCTCCCCAGCTGTGAGCAGTTAACCCGCCTTTCAGGGGAAGGAGGAGACAGGGCGTGCTTTCAGCTGCGCTGTGCCCAGATGAAGGTGTGCAGCTCCAGCTCAGTGCTCCAGTTCCAGTGGAATTCCCAACCCAAGTGTATGTGTCAGAGCACTCCCCTTGTTCAGCGGAAAACTGAGAGCAAGTCCCACCTCCAGTCTGACTTCGCGCTCCACCTTTACAGTCACTGCCTTCCTTCATGCCTCGTCATTTCCAGGGGTGTTGGTTTCTGTGTGGGTTTCATGGAGATGGCTTTGCTTTTGTTTCTGTTTTGCGGTGGACATTCATCTCTGTTGCTGACACTCGTAGAACTTATTTGAGCCAAGTGCTGTTCTAGGTATTATGTAGGTCTTCATCCACTGAGTTCTCAAGAAGAAGAAAAAACTATGACTCTTCCCATTTTCAGATAAGGAAACTGAAACACAAAATCACAAGTAATTTGCCAAGGACACCCAGTTAGTAAATCATGGGGCTAGGAGTCAGACGCAGGCAGGCTGGCCCAGGGGCTGTGCTCTCAACCCCTGCACTATTTTTTATTTTTTTTTAATTGAAGTATAATTGGTTTACAATGGTGAGTTAATTTCTGGTGTACTCAACCCGATCTAAACTGCCTCGTCCAAAGGTCTCCTAGCTGGACGTCTTCCATTTCAGCCCCATTCCCCCAAGTGGCCCTTCAGCCACTCCAAGCCATTTCCGGTTCCCAAACTAAATTGTTTTTGCTCAGTAGTTTTTCTTCTGCTGCACCCCCTTCTTCTGGTTATTCTTCAGGACCAAGTGCAAACATCATTCCCTTCATAGAGCTTTGATGGCCTCCTTCCAGCTCCCCACCATGTCCCTCATAATAGGTCACACCCTTCTCTGTGCTTTCTGGCACTTTTTAAACATCTTCATTACTACTGCTAGTGACCATTAGCAGAGTGCATCATAGTAACTTATTTATGTGTCTGTCTTCCCTAGCATTCTTCCTCAAAGACAAGAACCATGTCTTACCCATTCTCTGGGTAAGTGCCCAGCATGGTGGCTGCTGCTTGGGAGGGTGTCATTAAATGTTGGTCAAAAGAACAAGTGAGCATTCAAGGTGGTGGAGAGCAGGTTGGGAACAGCTGACATTTTGCATGTTTCCCAGCACCATTACCACCACCATCTCGACAAGAAAAATAACATCTTTATGAGCCTCAACTTACTCTGATATTTTTCAGTCTGCTTTGTGACCCAGCCAGCAACACCACTTCCAAGCTCAAGGGCTGGGCTTGATGTAACCACTCCTTTCAGAAAGGCCCAGCTAGACCAGGCTCCACTGTAAGACAGCATGTTGTTGTAAGGAGGGATATCCTTTCCAGTGGATGGAAAACCGCTGTGAGGGGACCCCACGCCAGGGTTGACCAAGGATGTGCCATTAAGGTAAAGAGGTGCAGATCAAGGCAGACAGACTTTGGCAGCATGAGGGGATGGTTTGCCCTGCCTCTTCCAGGGGGACCAGACACACTGAAGGAGCTTTAGGCCCTTAGAGCCAAAGAGAGGATGCAAATGGAGCTCCAGAGAAGATGGCTGTAGGGCAAGATTCTAGGCTGGGAGTGTCCAATCTCAGCCTCCCTTGCAGAAAGACCAGACTGAGCTGGCCCATTGTCCAGTTGGCCGCAAGCTTCCCACCTTTGTTTCCAGTTGAGACAAAGGCCGAGAGAGGAGCTGCAGTGAGCTCTTGAACCTCCAGCTGCTCCACAGAAAGGCCTGCATGACTGCTTCCATTCAGCCAAACTGCTCTGTGAGTAAGGGAGGTTGAGGACAAGAGGGAGCAAAAGAGTAACCACATTTTCAAGGGCATTTCTGAAAAAGGGCTCATCGGTATCTCTTTTCTGAAAAGCAAAGATGGACCTGAAGCAGTTGGAACTGTTGCCGAAGCAGCAGTGAAATGGAGAGGAACAGGCCCTGTATTTCCAATAGTGGTATTGATCAGAAATAAAAGTTCCCTTCAAAATGCCTCTGAAGTCTAACGTCTCTGCTTAGGACCCTAGGACTCTGTGTTGTTGATGTCATTCTTGATGTCACCTCCTAAAAGGACCTTCACTTTCCGGCTGCCACAAAGCCCACCTGTGTCGCTCCCCATGTACAGCCTGGCTGAGTAAGTGAAGAGAGAGATGCTGGACTTGTGTATCACTGGCTGTCAGTTCCTAATGTTAAACTTCACACAGGTGTGCTAGCATTGAAATATAGAGTGTCACATACCTGAGTTTGAAAATAAAAGCACATTTCCAAATCTTTGGCAGCAGCCAAATGCCTCCTCATTTTGTGGAGCTGAGCCCCAACCTTGCCCCAACTCTGAGTGAGAATCTACCTCCGGATAATAGTGCCTCCCCAACGTCCCCAGCCCTTGGGTCACTGCACTGCAGGCTCTCTCCCAGGGGCTCGGTCATTTCCTCTCCTTCTCTTCTCTGTTCCTGATCCTAGTTTCTTGTATCATCCTGGCCTATGTTTTTTTTTTAATTAATACACTTTACTTTGATGGAGACTGCTGAGTTTTCACCAACCTGATTTCTACAGCTAAACTGTATTTTTCAGTCTTTTCTTGCAGCAAGGTGCAGGGAAATGTGGACTTTCTAGATCTGGTTTGCTAAACAGACTTTTCTGCCCAGTACTTCACAACTTCTTTATTCTCCTCTCTGCCTACCAAATTCAGAGGGGATCTGAGGACCTGAGACCCAAGAAGATGGCAGGACCACTGGGTGGAGGCTGAGCCTTTGAACGGGCGCTCACAGAATTCAACTGTGATATAAGCAAGAAATTAAATTTTAATGTATTCAGGAATATTTAGTGAAATTCAGAAATATTTGTCATAACAGCATACCCTGATTAATTCAGACACTTGAACCAGAAATGACATAACAAAATTTCAAAATACAAGACACTGACTTAGCAGTCAAATGACAAGAAACCTGATATCAGGGGCTGGAAATATGGTGACCCATGCTGTGAAGAAAACAAAAATATTTGGTAAAGTCTAACCCATGATAACTTGAAAGGCAGTCCATGGGCAGCCTATAGCTCTAGGAGGAGTGTCTGGAAAGCATCAGAGTGTTGGAGTATGTGAACTTATATTGGCTGCCTTTGGCAAGGTATTGCAAGAAAAAGAAGTACTCAGGAAAGAATTGGCTATTTGTAAACAGAAAGAAAAAAGCATCTAGAATGCTTAGATTGAAGAGTTAGAAAACTTGACTGCATCTAAGTCTCAAAGAGACTGAAAAAGAGCTTTGAGTGAAAAAGAACCAAAAGCATTTTTCAGTTGAACCCAGATCAGCTCATCCCTATGGTAAAGGCCTGATTAAGGATACAGCCCTGCTATCTGTGTGTTTCTAATGAGCTCAGGGTAATCTCCATTAAATTAGAAGGGAGGCCATAGGGCTGAGAAAACAAAAACAGAAACATATCTTGAGACTTGTGACTGGGAAAGGATTTGGGGTTAAGATTATTGGCACATGGAATCAAATGGAAGCTAGTAGATCAGAGACCTAAGTCGTGAGGGAATTGTATTTACAAAGAAATACAAGCCAGGACTAAAAACTCCTTTGAATGTTAAGTTAGAAAACAGCCTTGGGGATCCTAAGCTTACATCAGCAGAAAGCACATTGTACAGGCTGTGTTACCCCAATGAGGCCATCCTCCCTGGTGGCCACTACACATGTGGCCAAGGAAGACTATATCCAATGAAGGGCCACAGAGAACAGTGGACGTGGGACAGAAGAGTTTCTCCTAAGAAAGCAGAATCCGGACCTAATTGAAGGTAGGTGACTGCGGTCTGCAGAATTTCTGAAATGCCTCCCCTCAAGATGCCTCCCCCAGTCCCTGGGATTTTTGAACGTGAGATATCACTCCTGTTATGTTACATGGTACAGCTGATCTCAAATAGGGAGACCATCTGGGTGGGCCCAGTGCAACCACATGAGCTCTTAAAAGCAGAGAGCTTTCCCTGGCTAATGGAGGACGTGGAATTCAGAGAGCTGAGAGGTGTTTGAAGGACTCCAAAGGTCACTGCTACTTTGGAAATGGAGTGAGCCACATGAGGAGAAATGCAGACATCCTTATAGGAGCAGAGAATGGACCCCAGCTGACAGCCAGCAAGGAAATGGGGACCTCATTCCTAAAACCTCAAGGAAATGAATTCTGCCACCCACATGAATAAGCATGGACATGGATTCCCCAGAGCTTCCAGGTGAGTACCCAGCCCACCCGGGATCTTGATTTCAGTCTTGTGAGACCCAGAGCAGAGGACCTAGCTGAGCCCACCCAGACTTCTGACCCACAGAACTGTGAGATCATAAGTGGGTGCTGGTTTAAGTCACTGGGTCTGTGGTGATTTGTTACACAGCAATAGAAAACTGATAGAGTGGTCTTTATAATGTCTCTCCACCGGTATTCCAGAACTGCTGTGACTGGGTGACTGCTGTGTCTCCCACCCCTCTCCTTTACACGTGGGAGTTTTTACTGAGGTTACTCAGATCCTGCTGCACCATTACATTTAGGGGGCAGCATATAACTTTTTTAGTTCATAGATGACCAGACCACAGAGTGCCACAGCTGGACCATTTGGAGAAGACTGAGCATAATTAGAGATCATGGATTTTGAGCTAGATTGGACCTTGAGTTGTCTCCCTTGAGAAGAGAGTGACTGTATTCTGTGGGTGGGAACAGCGAACCCTACACTGGGTGAGCTGAGGGTAAACTGTGGCAGGGACTGCTGTGTGTTCACCAAATCGTTTTTCCCCTGGCTTGTGGGCACACACCTGGATTACATTTCCCAGACTCCTTTGCAGTTAGACAGGAGCATGTGACAACATTCTGGCCAATGAGATATGCTTGAAGTGATATAGCCACTTCACAGGCTTGGCCCTGGAAGCAGTTTCCATCCAGCACAATCCTCCACGCTCCCCTCCTTTAGTTGCTGGTTCAGTGCAGGGGAGGGTGGTTTGAGGAACTAGGTGATGGTAGCACTACAGTCTCTGAATAACTGTTGTGGCAAACTCCACCCCCCTACACACACAATCCACCCCCCACCACCACCACCACTGTCAGCCATTGGATTGTAACATGAGAGAAATAAACTTTAATTTTGTTAAGGCATTGAGATTTGGGGTTGTTAGTTGTAGCAGGTAGGCTACACTGACTAATACATTTGCCATTCTGCATATTTTAGAAAATAACTAATCCCTATAATATGATTACCCCGGAATTATCCTGCTATGGTACTTCTAAGTTCACACAATTCAGCTCCCTTATTTGACGGGTGATAAAATGGAGGCCCAGAGAAGGTTAAGTGACTTGCTCAAGATCACACAGATAATTAGTGTTCAAACTTACACTAAAATTTAGATATTACCCTCAGTCCAGGACTGCGGGTTGTACCACATTCCCTTCTTTCATGCCACATTTCAATGTTCTACTCTATTTAAATTTTTACTTGTGTATGTGAGACTAAATATCACTTTCACTCTTGTGTTTCATATCCAGGGAACAGGAAAACTGGCCTGGATATTCCATGTTTCCTGCTCTCCTTTGAAACTTGCTGTTCTCTTCATTTTCATTTAACATTTCAAATTTCCCTTCTAATTCTCCAACTTCTAAAATTATTGGTTCTCCCTGATTATTGCATGAACTGTTATTTTACAAGTGGACAGTGGTGCTGGTTCTTTTGCCATATCCTGAACACAGATTATCTGGCAATATTTTGTTCATAGCTCTCCACTTCAGCTTAGAGCTCTTGGCAAAGAACTCTTCAGAAACTTATCTTGGAGGAGAGGCCAAGAAGCTAAGACTAGGCATATTCACACTTATCAAGAGAGGCAGCAAGTTCCTAGCAAGCATTTTCAGTAACATTCCAGTGGGGGCTTAACTTCTCTCAATATGGATATCCAAAAAAATAAGATTGTTTCCTCTTCCAAAAACTCATTATTAATCACCAGCCCAGTCAGGCAGACTCTCTTTCTCTAATAATTTCCCTTCTAAGATTTTGTTTCCAGAATGTAGGTCAGTCATCTCACTTCTCATAAGCTATTTCTCCCATCCAAAGCCTTGCCTGTCGCTTCTCATTTTTTCCCCCTTCCTGTCTTCCTTCTTTCTTTTCCTAAGACTTCAGCAAATGCTGGAAGGCTAAACCTCCGTCAGGTGTAATGTTAGGCTTTAAGGATGATGGTGAAGGGGACAGGATTCCGGTGAAGGGGACAGGATTCCTGCTTGCCGGTCTGCCTGTTTCCACAGTGATAGAGCCATGTATGTTTCTGAGGTCCCCAGAGTCCAAGTCTTGTGCTCACCCTAGTAATGAAGTCTGAACTAGAGGTATCTAAGGGATATTCTCCTGTTCTCTTAGAAGTTCTTATTATTGGTATTTTCCACATCAGTGTCTAATTTGATGACCAATACCATTTGTTCAGAAAAGAACTAGTTATCCATACACTATTCCTATAAATGATATTCTTTTTGGAGAAAACTAAGAAATCTTTGCTCAAGGCATTCCTCTCAAACCAGAATCCCAGAATTACCATGGAGGCCAAACCACTGAAACTCCAGCTGGGAAAGCAGAGAATACTTGTACATAGTGAAGATAAATCTCACATTCATCAAACAAGAAAGGGGAAGTCTAAATGGAGTTTTGGGGGCTACCAGGATATAAGAGAAGTTATTAAAGGGAGAGTTACTATATAAAGGACCCCTGTAGTGATGACTATTACAAGGTATAAAATGACTAATTTTATAAATTGCCCCCCAAGTTGTGTTTTATAAATGTGAATTTTTATGTGGCTGGTTTCTTTGAAGAAGGGATCACCTATAGTGGTGTAGAAATTTCAGAGGTATGAAGAAGTCCTGGAGGGAAGCATGAGGACTCTGTCCTTTGTATTTAGATAATCATTTGCTTTCTTGAACCTCAGCATCATTCTCCCACAGATCATAAGGATATGCAGTTAAAAAAAAAAAACCACTGATTGTGGGAGGGAAAGAAGCACAATCCATGCTCAACCTCCTTTAGAGACAGAGACACCCCTAGGAATATATAAATGAGCGAGCTCCACCGTCGGTAACTATGAACCTTGTAAGAACTGAGCTGGTGGGGGAGGTGGGCGGTGGCAGGGAAAATGAGAATTGGGGAAACCTTCAGCAGTTCATATTGTACTATCTGCCTTCCTCCTCTATGTGTTTTCTGAGTCAGCATTAGCTAAATTTTCCAGAAAGCTGTCCACAAAGTACAGCCTGAGCATTCAAGGGACGTCACTCATTTCCCCTAGTGACCTTGACAAGTCAGAAGCTTGGTAGCAGGGAAATCCGGATGTCTCAGTCATGAACTGGAGCAGTAGGGGGGGCCCACATTATTTCCAGAAGTCTCCATCCAGACTGGTGATTATCTGCTTCTGTTCCTGCCAGTGCCCATTGGAGGTGCTTCTCTGGCTCTGAAGGGGCTGGCACGATGGCCAAGTACTTCAGCCTGGTGTTGCTTCTTGCCTCCATCTGGACCACAAGGCTCTTGGTCCAAGGCTCTCTCCGCGCAGAAGGTAGGTTTCTTACCAGATTGCCAGCATGAGGCAAGGCAAGATCTTGCAAACTGTCCTAAGTCTACCAAGTTCTTGACTGAATTTCTGGGGTGGGGGGCGACCCTCCAAGTCAACAGAAGATCTCATTGGTAGGATTGCTTTGCCAGAAATTTTCTGACCATATTTGTCAGCTTCACCCAAATGATTCTCATTTGCCTTTTATGTGCTCTTGACTTTTATTTTTTGTTATGGGCTATTTTTAATGAGAATATTTTGAAACAAAACATTGAGGAAAGATTTGTTTTAAGAAGTGTTTCATTGAAGAAGCAAATCATGACTGTGAAAAAATTTTAAGCAATCACTAAATCTGGGGAAGATGGCTAACTTTCACAGAATATTGGCCTGTTTTATGTTTTTGGAAGTGTCGGTATAATTATTTTAATATCAGTTTTACTATACTATCATGGAATGCATTTGTTTAAAATATGCAGTAAATAACAAATTAACTGAAACAAATCTGTGAAAATATAAGTTTAAAAATTAGCCATCAAGCTCCCTGCCAAAGAAATGACTTGAAATGATTCCTTTTAGGCTTTTGAGATGCCTAACTGGTAACCATTCTGCACTGTAGGCAAAAAAAAATTGTGACTCAAATCACTTATTACAGCTCTGGGCAAATGAAAATCTGAGCACTTTAAAAGGAAAATTGTATTGCTAAGCTGAAAGATGCCCTGAGAAATATGTCAGGAACAGACATCCAGAGTTGATTCATATATTGTCATATTCAATTTTATAAGGGAGATTAGGTTACATGGTTGGTTTTTCAAATACCAGAACTATTACTTTTAAACAAGTTTGGTCCTCTTGGACATCCCCCTGGGAAGACTATTCACTTTTCCCCAAAATACTGCCATTTCTCAGATTATTCTGGAACTTGTTCTTTGACATTGTCTCATTACACTCTTTGGGTCATCCTCAATGATGGCAAAATTTTCCTAAAGAAATTAAAATTTTAGAAACAACTGAAGGTGATACAAGAGTCATGACTGGGGGAAAATGAGGTTAATGAAATAGAGTGGATGAGGATGGGCACTGGTATTTTTGAGGGTCTATCTATCTATCTATCTGTTTCTGAAGAAGATGTTTTATAGTTGAAGGAACAGGCTCAATGAGGCCAAGTAACTTGCCTACTCTCATAAAGGCAGTACATAATGAAGTTTAGGTTTGAATTCAGCTCTGATTCCTCGGTATATACTGTTTCTACTAGGCTGGCTATTTCCTAAGAACTCTTAAGGAAGGGGTTACTGGAGCAACCCTTTGATTCCAGTTCCCCATCTTTGTCCTTAAATAGGAAAGCATAAAATCTACTAATATTTGTTGACTGCCTACTATGGATCCATCTTCCACCAGATACAAATTACCTAATTTAAAACTTCCGACAAAAATTCTATAAAGAAGATACAACTACCCTCCTTTTACAAATAAGAGTGCTAACTTGCCCAAAGTCCCAAGGCCAATTAACAATAGAAGAAATATTCAGAGCCAAGTCTCTTGCCCAGAATGGATCTATCATTCCTTGTGATAACAATACTTAGAGTAAAGATGATGTATGATGAGAGAGTATCAAGACCCATTTTATTGTGTAATTAATATTCCTTCTCTAAAAGTATTCCCAAAGAAGCAGCCATAAGAGTTTCAAACAATAGAAAGCTTATGAGTTAAATGAGCCAAATTCCAGGACAAATGGTGTGTTCCAAGAGTTCATTTCAAGGGGTGTGTGTGTGTGTGTGTTTATCTTCTCCCCATGAACACAGTGGGAAGCAGGACAGTGTCCTAGTTAAGAATCGGGGTTTTAATTATCAATCATAGCTGGGTTTGTGCCCCCAAACTGCCACCTAGTTGCTCCATATCCTGGAGCTTGGGAAAGTTACTTAATCTCCCTGAGCCTCAATTTTCTGTTAAATGACACAGGGTTTGGCACAGAGTAGCACCCACAGATGATAGAAGTTGGAAGTAACTTTGGTATCAGTATTAACATCGGTGTTGAATAGTGCACAGTCACAAGACACTGTTCTGTTACAAACACTCACATTGAGTGTCGGCTCTCTGGTCTCTTTTTTGCTGAGAGCAGGGTCTGGAAGCAAACAAGGCTAGCCACAAATACCATATATCATATTCACTTCCCTTCCCCCAGCCCCCTGCTTCCAGAGCACGACAAGGTCATATGGAGGACTTAGAAATGATCTTTCCATGTTTGCAAGAAGAAACTTCCTTTAAATACCAACTTGGACAGTGGTCAAAGCATTTGACTGGCCGTCCAATGCACAGATTTGTGTTCAAGCAATTACCTGGGAGACTGAAATGCCCTTTTATGGACTTTTGTGGAGGAAGCCCAGTAAGAATAAAATACCTGAATGCAATGCAACTTTGCAATGTCATCCAGGTCTATACATCCAGAACCCAGAGGGAAGGGATCAAGAGAACTCTCAGATTCATTAGATTTTGAGTAAGAGATTATTCACATCTTAACTGATCAACTGCGTCAGCTCCCCTAGGGAGATCAATCATTAGCAGGTTAAAACCAAAATGCTTTGAAGGTAGCATAATGATACTATGTTATGATGTATTAATACCTACTATATGGCAGGCACTATGCCAAGCATTTATCTGAATCAACTCATTTCACTTGTACCACCCTATACAACAGTTATTCTTCCAATTTTATAAATATAGAAACTGAGGCTCAAGGAGATGAAGTAACTAGCCTAAGGCCACAGAGCTAGCAAGTGACATAGGTTAGATTCAAATCTAGTTCTGACTCGAAAACTCTACTTCCTTTATTTAGTTTCTCTGCCATGCAAGGTTCATGATCTGACTCCTCCAGGAACTTCTGAGTAAGCCTGCCCCCCAATGGTCAGAGAAGACCTAGGACTGAGAAAGTTCACATTCTGTTCTACCAAGTACCACATTTTTTAACCCATCTCAGAAATTGTGGTCTCCCTAACCAACATTAGTTTAAAGTATTGCTAACTATTCTGTTAACCCGAGCCCTGAATTCTATCTTTCTCAAAGCCACAGACCCTTCATGTTATAGACTCCAAAAGGGTTTGTAGCAGCTGTGTCCCCTAGACCACACCCCAGGAACATCCATGGAGCATCCGTATAATGAACAAGGTACCTTGATGCAGTGAGGGAGGATGGACTCGGATCTAGAGAGAGGTACAGCGTGGATCAGGGCAAGCACCCACCTAACCCAGCAGGATGTCCTTGCAGAAAATGCCTGGCCTGTGTCCTGTTATTTCTAAACTTTAATCCCAGCTGCTGAATCAAAACAACACTGTTGTGCTAGGAAGGAGAGCCTGCGGGCAAGGACAGCAGCACACTGAGGACCTATGTGATTCCTTTGCAGAGCTTTCCATCTCAGGACAATGCAGACTCAGGGGGGTCGTCCTTGTGAGCAAAAAGACAAACCCGCAGCTGAATTTCACAGAAGCCCAGGAGGCCTGTAGGCTGGTGGGACTCACGTTGGCCAGCAAAGACCAGATTGAAGCTGCATGGGAAGTTGGCTTTGAGACTTGCAGGTGAGAAACAGCTGGGTTCACGAACTCTGCAGGAGCTCTTTTGGTTCTGTGTTCTTGTTCAGAAACAGAGATCAGTGTATCCACTCAATGAATGTGTCTTCTGTTACAGTTATGGCTGGGTTAAAGATCAGTTCTTGGTCATCTCTCGGATTTTCGCCAACCCCAAGTGCGGGAAGAACGGGAAGGGCGTCCTAATTTGGAGAAATTCACCTAATCAAAAGTTCAGGGCCTATTGTTACAACTCATCTGGTGAGTCAGATCTGCAGTCTCTCCACATGGCATGTTTTCTCTGAGTTTCTATAGCTCTGTGACCTGTCAGAAGAGTAAAGAGACTGAGCAGCCACAGAAGGAATCATGGTGATGGCCATGGAATCCTCCCAAGACTGCCTCTTCGACCAGGCTAGACGCAGTGTGCCCCTCAGAGGGAAATGTTAGGGCAACACAGGGAGAGGGCACCTCAGGAGGCTCCATCACCCGCCCCTTTCCAGCCTATAAGATAAACAAGAAGAAGGGATGGAAACATCCACTATGGACAAAGCAAGGTACTAAGCCATCTCACTGAAACTTAACAAGCTCCCTAGGAGGTATGCTCTATCTTCCCCATTTTATAGACAAAAAAGCTTAGTTCAGAGGACGTTTAAGTAGCTTGGTCTAAGGTCTCCTCACTCTTAAGATTCACCCACAGATCTCACTCTGTGTCCACGCTCTTTCCAGTATCCCACATTCCTTTACAGGAGTGGAAATTCAGATACTGCATTTGATGTTGAAGCTAGAAAATAGAACTGATTTGCTCATGGCCATGGGGTCACCCCTTCAACCTTGTTTGGAGACCTCAGTCGCCTTCGCGCAAGTGCTTGACCTAAGTAACTTCTCCAAAAGTTGTCCTTTGACTAAACACTTGCTCTCACTTTATCATAAGAACCTCTGTCTGATTTATCACTCTTCACAGATACTCATAAATCGTACCTTCTAAAGGTCAGATGGCTCAGTGGTCATTCTCTAAGATCCAAGAGATGAAAGGTCATGGGCAACATTTTGTTGCCCAAAGGCAGCGTAAGATCCAGGCAGTTCTCTGAACCAGGGGCCCTTGGCCTAGGAAGGGCCCTGAAAGAGGCTTTGTCCATCCCCTCACTTCACGGATGAAACAACCATAGCTCAGAATGGAGGTTTGTCTGGTTCAAAGTCCCACAGTCAGTTGATGGCAGAGCCAAGACTGGAACATAAAGCTTCTTCCCACATTTTTTTCACCAGCCTCCTTCTCTCCTCTGCCTCTTCCACACATCACTTTTGGCTAGGGAGTCGGTGGTTCACGCCTCTGCTTATCTCATGGCCAGTTTTCACCTGTCAAGTGGTCTGGCCTTCCTGCCAGCTGTCAGTGAGAAGATAGGACACCCAGCCCTCTGGGCTAAACAAAAAGGAGTCAGGGAAGAGGACCTGGATTCCTCTTGGTTTTATTTAACTTGTATTTCCATTCCCTACATTCCCTGTATACTTAAAGTCAGGTGTAAAGGCTTGGTTAGACTCATGTTCACTGTTTTGGGCAAAAATACTTCATAATGATATCGTGTCCTTTAGATCATAACAAAAGGTACTTCATGTCAATTCATCCTACTATTAATATGCTATTTGAACAAGATGGTGGCTGCCAGACTTCTCTAATGAACTCAGAACGATATGTCTTCCCCTTTGCAGTGGGTAGGTAACTGATAGTGTGATATTTTGGCACCATGCAAATATTCTGACCCCCAACCATCTCTTACCTGATAGTTCAAGCAGACATTAATGATCCTTGCTGGACTCAGTTACTATATACAGGGCTGCAAAATGATAATTTTCTAAACCTATTCTTTTTTTTAACTTTTTTTTATTGAGTTATAGTCAGTTTACAATGCTGTGTCAATTCCTAGTGTAGAGCACAATCTTTCTAGTCATACACAAACATACATATATTCATTGTCACATACTTTTTCTCTG